GATGTTAACATCTTTTACTGTGAGTTTTCTGGAATGTACTGAGAAACAAAATTAAGATAACATTATTGTAATCACTGCTCAGGATGACTTCACTGAAGCAAGATACAAAGCTGTTAGTTAATTAGGTCAGCATATATTTTTTTATGTGACCATCCTGCGAAGACTTGGGACAAACACTTGTCAGGGATGCTCTAGGTTGTTCCTGCATTGAGCAGGGGTTGGGCTAGATGGCCTGTATGGCCCCTTCCAACTCTGTGATTCTATGATTCTATGATCTTCAGGGGAAAGTAGTCACAAATAGACAGTTACTTAAGAAATGGCATTTTGTACTCTAGGTAGATGCACGTGTGTCAAGACAGATCTCCGTGCTACCAGAGTTAACCTCTACAGGAATTTACTGAGGAGGAAGCTGAAATCCAATGTTGGTAGTGTTTTTTGTAACAAAATTTTAAAAAGGCATATTTCCCAAAATAAGGACAGTAATCTTCTAGATACCCATACTAGAAAAATAGGGACCCTTTGAATATAAGTTAGGTGTATGAGTCTTCTAAATTATTTAAGTTATCAAACATGGTCACAAAGAAAGCAACCCCCCAAACTCAAAAGCATTTTATACTGATTACAAGTTTAAATAGCAAAAGAGATGTTTAATGTCAAAGACACCTCTTGGCATTTTTATTTGTTTTATATTTAGGAATCTGGGATAAAAGGCTGGCAATACTGAATGCCAATGAGATTTTACAGTCATTTTTATCATCTGCCTGTCAACCACTATATACTCAAACAGAAACCTATAAACAGCCAGACCATTCTTAAATTTTGGACGCGAGAGACCAGTCATGCTTGATCCTTGTGATGATTACTCAGTTCCTTAAGAACTGGAATACATATCCTTCATCCTGCCTGGCATCAGTTAAAGTATTACTGGCCATTAAATTATACAACTCAAGTATGTTAAATAAAGTACAACCAGTATTTGACCTATTTCTATTCAGTTGCAGGCCAGTTATTAGAGAAAAAAATACCCTCAATCTTGAATATGTAAACATTTATTCTATATGCTGCTTTGATACAATATGTCCCCATAGTTCAGCAGAATTTCTCTTAGATGCCTTTTCAACGCTAAGTTACCCTCCCTTTAATATACTTTAATTTGAGTTCCAAGATACCCCTACAATCATACTGCCTACTGTTCTTTGCACAATTTCAACCTCAGGACATATAGATGAATTCACAACTCTTTTTGTCCAGATTGATCTTCAAGCAGGTCAGAACTCTGAGAAGAGGCAGGCCAGAGTCAAACCAATCAGGAATCAAAGTAGGCAATAGCAAACTCTAATAGAGGTGAGCCTACTATCACCTAGACAGGACATTTATGAAGGTGAGAACATACAGTTGTCCCCAGGGCCAGAATCCTGCAAGTACATACAGCTGGACTGCATCCAGCATAATGCAAAACCTCATGAAGGATCTTGATTGTCACAAGTTTTGTGGGCAGAGGAGAGGTCCTGGGCAGCCAACTGGGCACTCTGCTCTCAGATCTGGGCCTCTACCCACGGTCTCCATCTCCTCCATTTCAGGGCCTCTGGGAGTGCCTGTGGGATCCCTGGAAAAGGGTGAGTTTCACTGATGGGTTCTTTTTTGGCCCCCATGTCCAACTCCTATTTATGAGGCTTTGATTTTCTGGTTCCATGGTCTCAGTAGATGGGCTATCTGAGTCCTGGGTGCCTGAGAGCCCAGAAACTGTGGGGTCTTCTGGAATATTGATCTCCACAAGGTTAGCTGCCAAGAACCCCTCATCTTCTGAGGAGGACTTGTTAGGTTCAACCCTGACATTTTTGAAGGTTAGTGAGATGCTCTAATCTGTGCATTGGGCACAAAGCAATAATAAAATTATATTTTTGCACGGTCATCAAAAGAGATTTTCTTGGAATACAAAGTAATGATTTGTGGTTCATATCTAAATACCAGTTGGTTTGTAAGCCATGCACTTGAGATAATAAAGGCAAACATTCTACCTTGTAAACCAATTCCAAAAGTTTTACAGGTGAGCTTTGTAATTAAGTGGAAAATGATTGAAAAGCTTCCTTACTACTTGATTTTTTTGTGCAAAGAGTTTTAGATTTGATCTATTTTGTCAGAAATGACTCATTGGAAGTTACTGAAATCCCAGCTACAGCATTGTTCAAAACTATTAGCCTTAAGCTTGGTGCTGCAAAAACTTTTGACTTGCTAAAGGAACACTGCTTTCTTTGCCTGTGTCATTCCAACCCTCTATATACACAGATGTATATACACAAATGTGCAGATTAAAAATGAACAGAAAACTTAAATACAACCCAGCAAATACCAATGGCTGAAATACTGCTGAATTCAAGTTTTGTAAAAGTTTCTGGCAGAAAGGTGGTTAAAAAACAGAATTAGTTTTCATTCAGGTTTAAGGGTTTTCCCAGCCAACCATTTACACACACATCCCAAATGGGCCCCAAATAACATTTTAAGAGTTTGGGAAATTTTAGATTTACTTACCAAGTCGCTCAAACCTAATACTTATTAAATCCCCTGATATGTAATACAGTCCAGCTTACAAGGAGCCTTTCACTAAGTGTCTGAAGCTCAGAGAGTAACAAGACCAGTTCACGTTTTCATGGTTTAAAAGAATGTAGATATTTTCCTACTACTGTACAGTGAGTGTAGGCAGTTACCTTTTGGTGGCTTGGAATACAACAACTATCCTCTGTCTCAGGAGACTGCATTTTTAGATACATGGGCTAATATACTTTCAACCCATAAAATCCTAGGAAGTTGGGGGATGAGGAAGAAGGAAAGATCTAAAGCTTAGGCTGGATAATATGGAAAACAGGCCTTCCAAATTTTCTTTTGAGGCACTGTGTGAATTAGGGCAAGACTCTTAAAATGTACTATTCCTCAGGTCAAATGTGAGACCTAAGCTGCTAAGACTTTGGACAAGGTATATGTTTAGCTATATATTTTAGTGTGTTTTAATTATAATTTTCCTGACTTGGAAAGCCCAGGGTAGCCTGATCTCATAAGGTCTCAGAAGCTAAGCAGGGTTGGCCCTGGTTAATACTTAGATGGGAGACCATCAAGAGACCCCCCTCTGGAACAATATTTCAAGAAGGAACCTACGAGATTGCGTAGGCCAGTCACAGATCTTGACAAAAGGGCGGTATCGTCCATGTATAAGAGACAGGGTAATTTAATATAGGCCAGGCAAGGCAAGTGAAATTCATTTCCAGATATATAAGAAGTCATTAATATAAACTGAATAACAGTGGAGCAAGGAAGAAGCCTAATCTAAAGAGTACTTTCCCTATCAGAAATGGCCAGATTGTCCAGCATCATGTGTGTGGGAGTATGAAGGCATTTGTATTTACAGGAGACACCTGCAGAGACATAGATCTCCATGGAAGGTCATGTAGAGAGGATGAAAAGACAAGGAAGGGTCAGAGGGCAGCTCCCAGTTTAAGACAAAGAGCGGTATCCCATTCAAGGAGATAACACTTATACACACTTTGGGTGCGTTCAGACGGGGCATTTGCAACAGAATAGGTGCTGGTTACAATCGGTGTACTTACCGGCGTTCACACGTAGAACATCTGCCTTCCGTCCCTAACCGTTGCAAAGAGCTTTACACCATTGTATTCTGCCACTAGGTCCCCAAGTGGTGATATCCTGAGTACAACGGTTGTAATTGCTTTACCCCCCCCGTCTGATTGCTCGCCAACGTTGCAGAGCCACTTCCGTTCGGAAGCCTGAGGCTTCCGATTTTTGCCCGCCATTTTTTTTAAAGGTTGGCGATATGCGCTTGGGCGAAGCTTCGCCCTGGCGTTTGTTTTTTTAAAAAAGCAAAGGGCCTTAGTTTAGCATTTCAGAGGAGTCCGGGACCTCAGGGAGGCTACTTTGCTCTTTAAACTTTAAAGGTAAGTCCTTACCTTTAAAGTTTACATGTCAGACGAGGTTTTTTGCGCATGCGCGAAGATCGCCATTCTGTGGATGGCTGCCTATGCGCATGCTCAAACTGAGTTTTTAAAAAAAAGCCGATGCCCGCTGCGTGTGGATGGGCATACAACGATGGGCTCCGCGGACAGGAGGTGAGTGTGATCGCGTTTCAGCCGGCATAAACTGCACCGGTTCCAACCAGTACAGTTTATGCCGGCTGAAACGCCCTGTCTGAATGCACCCTTAGAGTAATGTAATATCCCCCTCCTCACCATGTCCAGGCATGCTGAATCACTCATTCCAACGTATTCACCAGTGTTCCAAAAAATTGAAACAGGAACCGTAGGGGGCATAGTAAACTTGCTCCACCTTCTGGAATTCCCTCCTAACGTAAAATTTCATTTATCAGTACTTACTAGAAGTAATTAACAATTACTTATTTGGTGTGGTGTAATAGAGAAGCACGCATATGCTCATCTGTAGAATGCCTTTCTAGAACCAGCTGCTGCTGATTTCCACACAAACAAGATATGAAGTAGCTGAAAATATACTTGATTAGTGATATGTATTCCCCACCACCTCTTCTTTTTAACACCACTGTTCCATGCAGCATTCTATACAGTTACAACAGAGCCCATTCTCAGCCATCCAAAAATCCACTCTAACTTTTTCCTCACTCTTCAAAATTTTTTAATACCCCCCTCCCAGTTATGTATCATATGCAAACTTTCCATATAACAAAAAATGGGAAGGTGGGAAAAAACAGCAGGTCAACAGGGAGAAAAGGAAATCTGGTGAGCTCTAGCAAAATGTGTTTGAGAAGACTGCAAGTACATGGTTTCCTTGTCTGAAAATGACAGGTCTGACTCTGTTTATCCATTAACACTGTGAGATTTCAAGGTGACCCTCCGTGCTCACCATTTTGAAAAAAAAAGTTGACTCCACCTAGCTTTTAAAGTTGTTGGTTAATATGCCTAAAAATCATCTCCCGCTCCCACAACCCTTATACTATATCTTGAGTAGTGTTTTTGGCTTACCAGTATAGTTTGGAAGACAAAGGCAGGCATAGTTGTTGGTCCCATCTACACAAGTTGAGTTGTTCTCACAATCATTATCTTCACAGTCATCTGGATTAATTTCACATTTCTTCCCTTCGAACCCAATAGGGCAGGAACAGCTTTTAACAAAGGATTAAAGGAGAGAGGGGGATGAATTTGCATTTCAAACTGAAACAAACTGGCAACAGGAACTACAAGCCAAATATATACAAGTATTGACCTGTAGAGATAAAATCTCATTTGAACCAGGATGTTCACATTGATTTTCTCTCTGATACACAGCAAGTTTCTACAGTGCTTGCAACTGATGGGCCTCAGACTCAGTTGCCTAGATTGCTGAGAAGTTTCATAGCGCCTTCAGTACTAGAGAGGGATATGAACCTAAAAATCACAGTTTGGTTCAGTTTGGGGTAGCCCCCAAAGTGAATCTCGAACTGAACCAAGCCAAAAATGCCCCAAACTGAACCAGACATTTTGGGAGTCTTTGGCTTGTCCTGGCCATTTAAACCTGACAGCTGATGGGCAGACCTTCCCTGCTGTTGGATTTAAATGGCTGGCAGGCATTTCACCGGTCCGTTTTGCTCCCCCCCCCGCTTCAAAGCAGGGGGAAGCAAAATGGACCAGTGAAATGGTTCACAGCCATTTAAACCTCATAGCTCAGCTGTGGACCTTCACTGCTCAGCTGTTAGGTTTAAATGGCCTGAACAGCCAAACTGGACATAAGGTCTGGTAAATGTTTGGGGAGGGCACCTTCCCCAAACCGGTTCGGGGACTCTGAACCAGGTCAAGTTTGTGCCGATTCGTGCCCATCCCTACTGAGTATAGTGCTTGAGAGTTTCTTACAAATTAGCTAGAGTGGAAACAGAAGCAAGCACATATGCAGAAGGTAAATCTGCCTTAAAGAGTTTTGCCATTTATTTTTGTCAATTCTGGCACTATATAGACTACTCTTCTTGGCTACTTTTTTCCTGAGCTGCCTTCAGAGGGACAATTTATAGAATAAACAATCAAATAATGCTACAGATGTGTGTGTGTGTGTGTGTGTGTAAGCCTGTCTTCTGCACTAAAAACAAATGTGTTAGAATGGAACAAATATGTGCTCCAAACCACTTATGCCACACTGTCTTCCCTCTAATAATATTTTCAATAAATCTCCAGAAGGTGGTTTGAGTTCTGATAAATACTCATAGCACCTGATGTTATGTTAGAGGTCCTAATACTCTCCTGTCCCAATCCCCACTATTCCTCTTTGAAAACATCAGCCCCTAACTTTCTACAGGAAAGAGCAGCTGCGTGCAAAGTGTGTATACGTATGCACATGCACAAATAATCAAAGAATTGATTTGAGAAGAATGCCACAGAAGTATGTGCAGGGATATACAAGAGCTTTTGAGCTATACCAATAGCCTCCTCCTTAGGCTTCCCAAGTCCCTCCGGGGGGCAGGGAAACCTCCGCCCCAGAGGCCCGTTCCCCGCTGCTAGCAGATCGGGCCCCGGGGGGAACCCCACCCCGATGTGCGCGTCACCTGGAAGTGACGCGACCATGCCGGGCATGCTGGGGGTGGGACCACGGTCATCCGAAAGAAAACCCTATGGCTTTCCCTTGGATGGTCATGGCCCCGCCCCCAGCGTGCCCGGCATTGTCACGTCACTTCTGGGTGACGTGTGTTTGGCGCACACAAAGCGTGCGCACTCCAGCCGCAGCACGGGAGTCCCCCGGTAAGGAGATATTTTGACTTTGCAACCCTACTCCTCCTACACTTCAGGGGGGGAAAAGAAAAAAACCCACATACTTAAAATATGTGATTAAAACCTGATGCAAATAATCCAATAAAGAAGATACTATTGCTGAGTAAAAGGGCTTTGATACCTTTGCATTTATGGACAGCAGGGAAGGGACAATGCTCCCAACCTCCTCAGCACAGTGAACAAGTTACCTCAACTTAATTTTTAAGGGCATATACCAAGGAGGCACAAAGCAATGTAGTACAAACTTGAATACTTATGGAGGTGTGAAAAAACAGAAAGCTGCTAATGGTGGCAATAATAATAACAACAATAATAATACCATAAAAACTATTTGAACTGTTAGTGCAGAAGAGCCCTGACATTCCTCATCCTTCCATGACCATTCACAGGTCATGAGAGTTAGAAGGGATGGTGGTATATCTTTAGAAAGGATGACAGAAAACAAACTGCTTGAATCAATTCTACTTAAAGCACACTAAATCAGAGTGAAATATTTTTGCCTGTCTTTTCCCTCATTAGTACCCATAAAAAATGTCCTCTTTCTGACCCTGTGGAGATACACAGGATCATAAGAGACAGATAAGAGAAGAGAAGAAGAGCTGGCACAGCATCTTCTGTAGCCCAGAAGGAGTGGGGAAGGGGAGGATAAAAGAATGCTAATTAAATAAAGTGACCCATTCATCATGTCTCCCATTTCCATTACAAAACCCCATTTTCCAGGAGTTTATGACTCAGCCATAAAAATGTGCTCTAGGCTGCAACTTGGCACACAAGGTCTCAGTTTAGAGAACAGATTCACTCTTTCAATTTAAAAGAAAAGAAAAACAAGGCGTCTGTGCTAGTGGCTTTTATTTTCTTTCTATGAGTCATAAACTGACAGTAACAGGTGATACAGACAATTAACATCATCCACTTACCAAGGGTCCTAGCAGTAGGTCAAGGTTCTAGACATGGACTATGTTAAGCAATTGCTAAACGATATAGAAAAGTCGTACCTACTAACATATATGACATTCAATTATTGTCTATGATCTCAGAATTCATGTTGGATACCAAGATTCCTTATTTTTATGCATATATTCAGTGGACTGATTTACCATGAGATTTCAAGGGAGACCCTAAAAACACATGAGCCTGTGAAAAAAACCTTTCCTCTTACAGACAGTTGCACAATGACAGTGCTAGACTTAGGTAATGCAACAGCTAATAGGGTTGCCAGGTCTGGGTTGGAAAATACCTGGAGACTTTGAGGATGGATCCAGGAGAGGGTGGGGTTTGGGGAGGGGAGGGACCTCAGCATAGTACAATGCCATAGAGTCCACCCTTCAAAGCAGCCATTTTCTCCAGGGGAGCTGATCTCTGTCAGCTGGAGATCAGTTGTAAAAGCAGGAGATCCCCAGGCCCCACCTGGAGTCTGGCAACACTAACAGCTAATCATTAGTCAAGGACTCCAGTACATTAAAACTGGTTCTTCTGGCAAACTGAAGAGATAAAGCTTAATTTTATACAAGGATGTGAAGTACTGAAGTTAAAAGAACATGCAGCCAGAAAACAAAAAATAAAAACCATGGTGAAAACGGAATTCTTCATTCCTTACTCTATTGTCAGAGAGAAGGTGGAGCATGGAAAGTTGAGGGAAAATGGAATAGGCATTAGGAACTAGAGACTGCACTTGTAGACTAAATAAGGCAATAGGTTTCCTCCCACTCCTTCCCCACAGAAATTACACATTCTACAAAGCTTTACCAGCTGAACTTAGGGTTTTTTTGGGGAGGGTTTTTTTAGTTATTATTTTTTTTATGTCAAAACTTTTATTTTGAATATATCAACACATTCAACATTACATTACATTACATTTCTTTTATCACATATCCATTTCTCTTATCCCCTCCCCCCTTTTGTGGCTTCCCACAATGCTCCTCCCCCTTTCCCATTTATATTTCTATTTTTCCTTTCCCATTATCATCTTAAATGTCAAGGTAACAATATGTTTTTTTAGTTATTATTGACTAGGAAAAAGGCCCGTTGTGGAAATAAATACAACGGCCTCTAGAAAGAGGCTCTGGGTGGGTGCCCTGGCCTTGGACACTCAGTGTCAATTTGCTGTGGCGACCTCAGCAGGGTATAATGACACTGAGTCCACCATTTTCTCCAGAGGAACTGATCTCTGCTACCTAAAGAACAGTTGTAATTTTGAGTGATCTCCAGCCCTCACCTGGAGATTGGCAATGATGGTTCCCCAGAAGGGAATGGTTGGTCTGGAGGGTGGAGTCTATGGCTTTGTACCTGTCCGAGGTCCCACGCCTCCTGAAACCTCACCCTCTCCAGGCTCCATCCCTCACATCTCCAGGAATTTCCCACCTGGAGTTGGCAACCCTATCTCCTTCCCAGCCAATCATCAACCTACCTTTATTTCCCTCTCACTCTTCAGCTTTCCACCCCCCCACACACCTACATCTTCTCCATGCTCTGAAGCCCTGACTGCTACGTAACATTGGCTGTCATACGGGGGCCACCTCAGCAGCATATAACGATACAGAGCCCACCAATCAAGTCGCGTATGCAAACGACCTCTGTCTTCCGAGGCATAGGCCAATGAGGCTGCATATGCAAATAACCTCTGTGTTCTGACTGGCTATGGGGGGGAGAGGAACAGCAACATGTTTAGAATGTTGGAGGCAGGACTCAGGCAAAGCAGCCAGTGGATAGGGAGACCCTCTGAATGACAGATCAGAGAGCGAACTGATTTTGGAGTGTGTGGAATGCTCTAGAAAAGTGCCACCACCATTCGGCTTTTATTTATAAGGGAGATATGTGGTGCCAGATTTTATACTAGATAGGTGGGTGGACTTACTTAACTATATCTTTTTTCACCTGCTTGACCATTGTTAATGGGCAAGGTTTATTAGTTTTTTTAAAGAGTTATATAAAACAAAAAAGAGTAATACACTTCAAAAGTATCCAGCCATTGTCTCGTTCATAACATCTTTAGATACATAGTTCCCTTTTTCCCTTTGTTAATGTATAGTCCACAACAGGTATCATTAAGTAAAATTCTGTTCCCAAAACACAATTCATTTTTTTCTATATCCTATCTGCTATAACTATTATTAGTCAATTTTATAACAATAAAAATATAAAAGAAAAAAACACAGGTATTTCACAGCAATTAGACAGTTCAGATTTCTTATATAATATCAACCTAGTCCCTTTAAGATATTCTTTCATATTTTTAGCATTGTTAGCTTTCAAAATCCCCTTTGTTTGCAAACCTAAACGTAGTAATTTATATTTTCTCCATAACATCAGCTCTCAACTTTACAATGCCAATATACTTTCACCTAACACTATATAGATCCATCTTTTCTCT